AAAAATTGCTGTAGATTTGCGGCAAAAACCGCGCAGAGCTTGTAGCGATTTCACAGCTGATTGGCGGCAGAAACCGCGCAGAACTTGCTGCGCTGCAAGCTTTGCGCGGTCTTTGCTGCAAATTTGGCACTAATTGCCCGACAGCAAGATCTGTCGCCAAAATCGTAGCCTAATGTAGACACAAATGGCTATGGTTTTGCTGTAGGTTTTTGATCAAATTTGCTGCCAATCTGCGCGCAGTCTGCGCTCAATTTGCTTATTGGATAAGATCCTAATAGATCATCAATGATCTATACAAATTATATATATCATTTTGTATAGATCATTATTAATCTATCTAAAGATCTTAGTGGGTATAACAGTTCATGCAAATAAAAAAGTAGATCTTTGAAGATATATTTATATCTAACAGTAAATCTTATTAGATCCAATTTGCTCTAATGTGATCTACATATGTCTAATGCAATCACTTCATTTTTTCCCGGGTAAACAGAGATCGCTCATTACATCTGGCATGCAAAGGGTATTAGGTATGAAAGTGTCAAAAGTACAACCAACGCGAACAAACGTAATGATATACATAGAAGTTAAAATATAAAAATTATCTATTTAATTAATAAAAGAAAGGATACAATTACATATACATGTTTTTATATGATCTATTCTCTGTAGCTGAATTGGTTGCACTAATTTGCGTTAGTTCTCTTACTTTTTTTTTGTATCAAGTCAAAATTATATTCTTTTTTTTAATTTCCAAAAATATGTATTAGTTCAGCTACAAAGAATAGACTTACTACAAGAATATTTATATATACTTAGGTCACTAGAAATTTAAAAACTTTAAATCCTTATATCTTTTGATCCTTATCTGAGTACTCTTTTATCAATAAAAATATCTCTGAAAACTTAACTTATAAGTTTTTTATTTAATTATAAACTACTTTTTAAAAACATTTTGTTGATAAAAAAAGTTTAGAATTAGGGTTTCTAAACAATAATTTCAACTAAAAAAATGTTCAATGATAATATAAAATATAAATGTGGACATATATAGAAATATGTATTAAAAATATAACAGAAAATAAACACAATTTCATGTCATATAATATATAACCTTATATTATATATACATATATATATATATATATATATATATATATATATATATATATATATATATAT